AAAAAAGAAAAAGAAAAAAAAGAAACATAAACAAACAAACAAACAAACACAACCCCACACACAAACAAACAAGCAAACCTAGAATGAATGCATACCTAATGACAGGAGCAGTTAAATATCTCACTGTCCTCAGGCACTCAGTGCCGAATGGCAAGCACCTTCATCCGCTGAGCAGTCTTGCTGGACTAACAACCCCTGGCTATTTCTTTTAAAAAGATTTGATTTATGCTCTGTGTGTGGGTGTTTTATCTGCATGCTTGTGTGTGACCCTGTGTGTGCAGTGCCGATGGAGATCAGAGGGGGTGGCAGATCACCTGGGACTGGAGCTATAGACAATTTTGAGTCTCCGTGTGGGTCCTGGGAACCAGTCGCGCAGACGTGGGTCTCGTCGGAGCAGCCTGGCTCTACCGTCTACCTAACTTATTTTTCATAGTATCTGACCCGTCCCGGGGGAAGTGAGTGACAGATGGCACCTTTGGGTGGTGACCTTAACGGTTTGGGTCAGGAACGGGGGTTGCTAGGAAGAGCAGGCCATGCTGTCCCGGAGCAAAGCTGAGCAGGGCTGGGCGCTTGCAGCCTCCGCCCTCGTTCTTTGACTGCTTGGCCTCCCACTTCTCTATTTTTACTCCGCCTGGTCTTGGTGGCTTCCTCAATATCTGTGTGGTGCCTGCCACCCCGCAGTTCACAGGTCTCCCAGGGGCTTGTTTCTTTCAGCCATGACTTTTAAAGTTCTCCTGGTGACAGGTATGTCTGGGTCTTGGGGGATCCTCAGGGTGGGGGGGAGGGGTTAAGGGGTCTCCAGGGTGGGGAAGATGGATTGGGGGTCTCCAGGGTGGGGAAGATGGATTGGGGGTCTCCAGGGTGGGGAAGATGGATTGGGGGTCTCCAGGGTGGGGAAGATGGATTGGGGGTCTCCAGGGTGGGGAAGAGGGTTAGGGGGTCTCCAGGGTGGGGAGGAGGGATTGGGGAACCTCCAGGGTGGGGAGGAGGGATTAGGGTGTCTCCAGGGTGGGGAGGAGGGATTGGGGGACCTCCAGGGTGGGGAAGAGGGTTAGGGGGTCTCTAGGGTGGGGAAGAGGGTTAGGGGGTCTCCAGGGTGGGGGGGAGGGATTAGGAGGTCTCCAGGGTGGGGAGGAGGGATTAGGGGGTCTCCAGGGTGGGGAGGAGGAATTGGGGGTCTCCAGGGTGGTGAAGAGGGATTGGAGGTCTCCAGGGTGGGGAGGAGGGGTTAGGAGGTCTTCAGGGTGGGGAGGAGGGATTAGGGGGTCTCCAGGGTGGGGAGGAGGGATTAGGAGGTCTTCAGGGTGGGGAGGAGGGATTGGGGGTCTTCAGGGTGGGGAGGAGGGATTAGGGTGTCTCCAGGGTGGGGAGGAGGGATGAGGGGGTCTCCAGGGTGGGGAGGAGGGATTGGGGATCTCCAGGGTGGGGAGGAGGGATTAGGAGGTCTCTAGGATGGGGAGGAGGGATTGGGGGTCTCCAGGGTGGGGAGGAGGGATTAGGAGGTCTTCAGGGTGGGGAGGAAGGGTTAGGGGGTCTCTAGGATGGGGAGGAGGGCATCTTTCGGGTGTACAAGTCGAGAGAAAGGGCAGAGCATGGGAAGGAGTTAGGGGGAGAGGCAAAGGGCTTTAGGGAAGGATAAATGATCTAAGGAGAAATAGAGTGAGGTAGACACTCTGTTATAGAGGGATGGTCAGGGAAGCATGGGTGAGGGACTAAATCCATTGACTCTGCAAGACTGTCATGACGAGGCTGCTGAGGCCAGAGAGCTGCGGGACAGCACCGGGGAGGCGTGGCCTCTGCTTCCAGAGTATTTCCTCCTGTGTCCCACCTACTTAGCCTTAAGTTCTAGTCAACAAGGACCTAGTACGAATGTTGACTGACTGACTGACTGAGTGCTGAGTCAAAAAGCGGTTTGAGGTCCTTTCCTTTCATGTCTGCGTTGTTGGGAGTGAGTCAGGAAGGGGAAGAGCTGCTTGAGACCCGCAGAGGAAGGACAATTTCTAACCAAGACCTTTGATTGTTGTGTAAATCATTGTGGTTGTGACAGCGGGGGAAGAGGCCTTTGTGGGCTCAGAGAGGGACTGGTTTGTCCCTCCAGGCTCTTACAGACCCTTGAGCTGTGGGTCCGCACCTTTGGTACGGGTTAAAGGTAGCTGTCACCTGTTTTGAAGATGACCACTTATCATCCATGGCTGACAGAGGACACTAACTTTACTCCTAGTTGAGAGAAATGCCACTCCTCAAGAATCTCCTTCACCACACGAGTAACCCTGTATCACAGAAATGGTGATAACGGATTACAGTTTGAATTCCCTTGATGAAACGTTGGCGGATCTGAGGCCCGGGGCTTGCCTAGTCTGTATGAAGCCCTAGATCTGATCCCCAAGACCACTGGACCGCAGTGGTACCCACCTGTAATTCTAGCAGTGGGAGGCGGAGGCAGGAGGCAGGAGGATCCGGGCTCAAGATGGTCTTCAGCTACAGAAGGCATTCAGGGCCAGCCTAGGCTATGTGAGACCCTGTCCCCAAAAGCTTTCCTCCCTGGTCTTACCATGTGGTCCTGACCGGTCTGAAACTCACTACTGAGACTAGGCTGGGCTCGAACTTGTGGCACAGCTGTTGCCTCTGCTCCCCCCTCCCCCCAGTGCTGGGTTCCGCTTAACTGTCTGGTCCTCTGTAGAAAAAGGACCTGGACCGTGGTGTGGTGGACTAGCCCTGCACCCCCTACACCCCCAGCATTTGGGAGGTAGAGTGGAGGCGGGAGGATCAGGAGGTCTAGGTCATCCAGAGTTACACTGTAGTGTTCTAGGTCGGGTAATATACAACTCTGTCTCAAAAACCGGACGGACAAGTCCCACCACCGCGTGGACCCTGGCCCCTGACTGTCGGAGTTTCAGTGAATAAGGTCAGGAAAGGTCACGAGTGGGAAGGTGTGCTCTTCTCTTAACCGTGTTGGTTCCTTTTTATTGACTTCCTGTCGTCTTTCCAGCCCTAGCCTTATGTCACGGATTCAATCTGGACACTGAAAATCCCATGACCTTCCAGGAGAATGCAAGAGGCTTTGGGCAGAGTGTGGTCCAGCTCGGTGACTCTCGGTAAAGGCGTGTGTGTGTGTGTGTGTGTGTGTGTGTGTGTGTGTGTGTGCCCCTGTCTCGGTGCTTCTCTGAAAGTTAGGGAAAAAATAGTTTCCTATTGAGGTTTCTTCCTTTCCCTCTCTACCTCCTTCCCTCCCTCCCTC